TTCCTTCCTTATTTATCAGCACAAATGCAACATATGTATGTATGTATGTATGTATGTATGTATGTATGTATGTATGTGTATATACACACACCATTGGGGCACAGCGCCATTTTTTTTCTTGTAGGTTTCCTGAATGACAAGCTAGGTGAGAACCAGCCCTGAAATGCCAACCAAATATCAGATACAGAAAAAAATATTGTGGAAAGAAGAAATTGCCTGTCAGGTTTGATCAGTACCATGAAACAGTCTGTCATCCTAGTACTAGATGTTTTGTACAGATACAAATGCAGCTGCCATTCTTGACGGCTCCTGAATGCAAATAAGGTGGACAGGAAAAGAATATGAAAGAAACAGTACTGATTTTTTACTCTGTTGTCTTAATGGTCTTCCTTTTTTCTTTTCAGGAACAACATGTTTGATTGCTTTACTGTCCGATAAAGAGCTCACAGTGGCCAACGTTGGCGATTCAAGGGGGGTCTTGTGTGATAAGGATGGAAATGCTATTCCTTTGTCTCATGATCACAAGCCCTACCAGCTGAAAGAAAGAAAGAGGATTAAAAGAGCTGGTAAGTTTCTAAAACGGGTGTTCGGGTTGTTTCTTTGTTTTACATCATGACAGAACATCGTATTTGTTTATTATTTTTTCCCATTCTTTCACCATTTTATGTATTGCAATGTGATGGTAATGAATTTTCTGGACAATTATAGCAAAATAAAGGAGGAACAATATAGAAGAGGAGAGGAGAAATAGAAGTATTAGACAAATTGTTGTGAACAAAGGTGGAAATAATATCTGCCCTTATCTTTTGATGTCCCAAAGTCAAGTTGATGAGTTTCCTTCAGGTGTAACTGTAAGAAAACAGAACAGACCCACTGTATGTTATTCCTGATGTTTATTGTTTCCAGCTTCAGACAGCAGCTTCACTTTCATGGTAGCCCTAATATCAGTATTTACTAATGATTCCTTAACAAGTCATATAAAGTCTTACAAGTCATACAAATGCAATCAAAGGATCTGCATAGTAGACTTAAAGTGGAGGCAACAAGATGTTAAAACACTGAAGAGTTCATCTGGTGCATGGTAATTCAGGTCTTCTTGTGTGAATTGTTACCTGGCCCAAAAAAGCAATACCAATTTCTCACACCGGAAGGAAGATAGGTTTATGATTTTTGATTTTTGCAAAATCCATCCATCCTTTGGTTGAAGTCACCCAAAATGTCACAAATATAAAAGTTTTTGAATTCTCCATAACTCTTTATCAGGGCAAAAAGTTACAAAAATGAGATATGAATAAAGTAGGAAAATCCAGAACTGTTCCACTTGTTTCAGCCAGAAAGTCAATCATAAGATGGAAATGCTAGATTGAATACATTAGCCAGGAGGGAATATTGCCAATATTAAGTTGTACTGGACATTGAAGAAAATAAGCAATATGTGAGGGAGGGATGAGTGTCCAAGAGAAAAAGAGAAATAAAAAATTGAAAGGTGTTTTTTTTTAGGATAACAATAAAGCCTTTTCTCACTATAGAACAAGAGAGATTCTATCTCTGTTAAGGCTTTTTTCCTTTAGTTCTTTTATCTTCCAATGAAGGCAGCAGGCATGTGGAAATGGCCAGCTGAGATAGAAG